AGGTGTAAGTTCATGGACGAGAGCGCCAGCAATCTTCACCTTTCAGTGCATTGACAGTATGTAAGAACTTTGATGCAAGTGCATGGACTAAAATTGCACTTTCAAAGATGTAGATTTTATAGTACTATATAAAAGGAATTTCATTTTGTAATTTTAAGCTATTGCATAGCTTCTATCGCGGGCCTTGAGTGCGGGAAAATCCAGAAATTTCGTAACGAAAAAAACCTCACGCTCTCCGACGGGCACGGAGGTGTGACTTGAAGGCCGTGCATTGTCTAACGATGGTCTAACGTCGTTTCTTTTCCTCAGTCTTCGACACGGTGTTTGTGTATAAAGTGTTTGGAAATTTTGAATATGAGTGAACAAAGTGCATTTATTATTAATGAAGAAAGTCACGAAAAAATAGTGAAAGAAAATGAGTGAGTACTCTATATACATACCTAATAATAGTTACCTAATAATAGTTAAATAATTATTTAGATTAACTACTACGAGCTCCTGTGTTTGCAAACAGAAGTGACATCAGTTTGGAGCTTAGAGTGGAGTATTATCTACGTAATAATATTATGTTCTGAGAGATATCTAAGTAATAGATTTAGTGGTTTATGTAGGGAAATGGTGTGCCATGTTCTCACTTACATATTACTTTATAACGCAAATACAATAGCAACATGATCTCATCAGAATATAGAGTGAGACTGACAAATAAGCACACAGTTTACCTGATGATTAGTAAATGCTGTGACCCATAACATTTACATTCTCAACTAAGACTTATTTTATTTCTCAAAATTCAGATACCTTGTCACCTCTGAGAACCAAATTGGAAAGCCTAGTCACAATATTTTTTTTCTGTTTAGTCTCCATATTAAACATGACAACATTTTGTAACTTTTTTGCAGGGGTAATCTATGACAGCGTGGTCTTTCTCCGGTAAAGCGAACCCACTCGTGCTAATTCCGCGAAACCGCGCGACGCACAACCAAAATGTGCCAACTGCACCAAGGCCCACGCAGCCAACGACCGCCGGTGCCCTGTGCTGCAGCGGATTGCGAGAAAGAGAGGCATAAACCTACAGCTGCAGATGCCTCCACAAACAGCTAAAATGCCGCAGCAGCAACAACAACCACAACATCAAACCCATCAACAGCTGCAGCAACCTCAACAAATTCAACAACAACAACAACCTCAACCTCTAATACAGCACCAAACGCCAGCACCAGCGCCATCTGCGCACGTGACAACAGGGACAACACTAGCCCCACCAGCAAATGGTCCAACAGAGCGCAACATGGCCCCCAAAAAGAAGCGGAAGAAGAGGAAGAAAAAGAAGGCGGCCACTCTAGCAGTAGAAACAAGAGTGACTTCAACCTCGCTTCCCCCTCCCACCTTTACCCCACAACAAACACGACAGCAATCAACAAATCAACCCCGAGAACAATACCAGCGAAGAAAGGCAACAATCGCCACACCCGCCACACAAACCCCATATGTACCAACCACCGTAGAAGAAGCCCTCACGGAGGTAGTGGGAGTAGTCATCAAAATCTTGGGTGATGTTCTAAACGCCATGACCACGGGGTCCAACCCCCTAACGGCGATATTAGGCGCCCTAGCCCAACTGTCAGCCATTAACAGAGGGCCGGCAACTTAAACTTTTATATTGGAACCCCGGAGGTATCGCCGGAAAAACCTCCGAACTCCGAATGCCGGTTCCGCAGTACAATATCCAGATTGTACTGCTGGGAGAAACAAAGCTGCGCCCCTCCGCCCAACTAAAGATTCCTAACTTCTTCGTGTATCGACACGACGAAGTATCCCCTGAAGGTGTCGCGTACAGAGGTACTGCGGCACTAGTCAGAAGAGACATCATACACGAAGAAGTGGAAACAGACAACAACTTCGCCACCACAAGGACAAAAGTGATTAGGATGAAGGTGGGCACTAGAGAAGTCAGAATTTATGCCGCCTACAGACCACCCGGTGCCCAACTCTACCCCCAGGACATAAGAAAAATATTCGACGCAACTACACCTGCTATTATCGCTGGAGACCTCAATGCAAAGCATCCTGCTTGGGGCTCCACGATAATCACCCCACCCGGGAAGAAACTGATCGAAGATGCAGAAGACTGGGGGGTACGAGGTCCTGGGCCCAGACGAGCCCACCCACATCCCCACCAACCCAGAACACCAGCCCGATGTCCTCGACATAGTGCTGTGCCATAAAATGCCGTACCCAATACGGCTAGAGGTGCTGTATGATCTGGACACACAGCACCTCCCCGTGTTGTTCACCACCGATACAAGTGCGGACGCGGTAGTGCCCAGAGAGTTGAAAATGAGAACTAATTGGACCCGCTTCCGTAGAGCGCTGGAGGACCTCCGACTCGGCGCCAACATACTAACAAAAGAAGATGTAGAGGCAGCGGCTCTATCAACTAAATAATACAATTGAATACCAATTGAAACTCCACTCACACCCTGTCTCTACAGGGCGCCGAAGAGAGGAACTCCCACAACACCTACAAGCACGACTCTCCGAGAAGCGGAGACTAGGGAAGCTTTGGGCACGGACGCGATGCCCACTTATCAAAAGAAGGCTAAACACCCTGACGGAAGAGCTGTCGGAAGCAATAAGAAAGCATAGGGGAGAAGCATGGGATAAACGAATTGATGAAGCGTCGGAAACACCCGCCTCCCTACATCTCCTCAATCGACAGCTCACGAAGACTCCCACACCGGCATGCCCACTTGTGGACAACACGGGAAAACGCTACTACAACGCCCAAAAAAGGGTGGAAATGATGGCACAGCACCTGGAAGCACAATTCAAAACCAACCCCATAGCGGAGGGGTACACAGAATATGCAACAAGCATACAAGACCGCGTACACGAATACCTGTCGAACCCGGCGCCACCACTAAAGGGCAATGACTTTATATCGCCAGCAGAGGTAGCGCGCACTATCACGCGCCTCCCCGCCCGTAAAGCGCCGGGATTCGACGGAGTCACCACCATGGCAATTAAGCAGCTGCCAAGAAGGGGGATAGTGGAACTCACCAGGCTGTTCAACGGCATTCTAAGAACTGGCCACTTCCCCAACATTTGGAAGAAAGGAAAAATCGTCGTGCTACCAAAGCCGGGGAAGGACAGGAGGCACCCGCCTAGCTACCGCCCCATAACGCTATTACCGCACATAGCGAAACTATTCGAAAAGATCCTACTAAGGAAAATCACACCGCACATCGCTCTACAGGATGAACAATTCGGCTTCCGTAGAGCACACTCAACAACTGCTCAACTGGCCCGCGTGCTGCTCTATCTTGCGGTCGAACACAACCGCGGCCGCATCTGTATGGGGGTCCTCCTAGATATGGAGAAGGCCTTCGACAGAGTGTGGCACGCAGGGCTAATCTTCAAACTAATCGAACACACCACAATACCGCCGATGCTTGTGCGGCTAATAGCGTCGTTCTTGGAGGGGCGGAGCTTTCAAGTCAGCCTAGAAGGGGCTGTTTCGGTAGCACGACCGATAGAAGCGGGAGTGCCACAAGGCAGCTGCTTATCACCTCATCTGTACGCGGTCTACAGTAACGATATCCCCACACTCCAAGACCAGCTGGAGGAGTGGGAAGAGGACGTCGTCCTTGCACTATATGCAGACGACAGTGCGTACTTCACGTCATCTCGTCGGGTAGAAAACGCTGCAAAGAAGTTGCAGCGACTGCTGGACCTGTTACCAGATTGGCTTGACAAATGGAGGATGGCGGTCAACGTCGGGAAGACCACCACCTTTATGACCAGGCTGAGAAGGACACCGCCAACACTGCTACTCCGTGGGCGGGACATAGGTTTGAGGACGACCATCACCTACTTCGGATGCCTGATCGATCGCTCGCTGCGAATGAACCCGCAGGTCGACCACGTCCTGAGACAGGCCAGAGCCGCGCGAGCGAAGCTGAACCCCATACTGGCATCCAAACTCCCAAGGAACACCAAAATAGGTATCTACAAGACCTACGTCCGCTCACGGCTGACATACGCAGCACCAGCCTGGTATGCGTTGACCTCAGCCACTCAGCGCAAGAAGATGCAGGCCCAGCAGAACCTTGCACTACGAGTGATCGTGGGAGCTGGCCGTTACGTAAGAAACGACGTCATAGCGCGTGACCCCAAAATGGAATCCATCCACGAATTTGTGGTCCGTACTGCGAGACAGTTGTACGACCGCGCAGACAACGGACCACATCAACATCTTCGCAATATAGCTCCGCTACACGCGCGCCCACTAGACGGGCGACCACTTCCACGTGAACTTCTGCGCTCACCGCCCGGCGAGGGGGACGCCGGGGACGAGTGAGAGTCCCGACACCAGAATAGATGGCGTGAAGTACGCAAAACATCAACACATAAACTGCGCCAAAGCGCAGTACCCAAGACCGTGAGAGCCGTGCCTCCCACGCGATGAAGTCCGGGTAATGAGGGCTACCTCGACACCCGCAGGCCTTCAAAACCTAAGAAAGGTTAAGAAGAAGAACATCTCTCTCTCTACCAAGGAAAGTTTTTATATGTCTTCCTCTCTCTCTCTCTCTACCTAGGAAAGTTTTCATATATCTTATATATAGATTTATTTAAAAATTATATGTTAATAGATATTAAGTGATACACCGAGTTCCAAAATAAACATTCATAAAAAAAGGGCTTTTGGAGTCGGTAAAAAATAATTCGACCACTTTGCAATTGTAATACGCATAGTTGACTGTTTAAAAGCATTTTGATGTAAGTTTTTAATACGCTGATATTTTTATTTTATTTGAATGTGACTGCCTATCTAACTATAAGGAAAACCACACACGAACTATGCAGCTCAAAAAAGTAATGTGTGCTTTTATCAATCTGTGTTGGTTTATGTATAAATAATTGTCAATACTTTAAATATATAAAAATTCATAATGTTCTCTAATATTAATGCACATACGTTATTATATCTTAGCCTGTATTCAAATATACATCGACAAATTCAAATTACAGTATCTAAAATTATAAGATTCAAAGGATTTTGTTATCACCATTATAGTCCACTATTATTAGCACCATTACAGTCTAAGTTAATAACGCAGAGAAACCCCGAGCATAGCCCTCCTTATAACTCGTTGAACGACTTTGAGCGCTCTCATACGGCCAGCAGTGAAGCACCACGTCTCAGATTCATAAGACTTTACTAGCAACACGTACTGGTTGTACAATCTCATTTTAAAGTTTTGAGATATACATGACAAGAACATATGTCGTGTGATTTCCCGAACGCTGCCCAGCCGGGGTGTATCCGTCGATTGACCTCTCGGTCGAAATTGGACATACTCGTCAACAACTTCGAGCTTAGTGCTCCTGACTACTACCGAAATAGATGTGACGTAGACGTTACACATGATCAGAAACGTGATTTTTTTTTTCATTTTTGACGTTTATATTAATAGACGGCATTAATTTTGATATAATAGACAGATAAACTATGGGATTCACCAGGATAATACGGAACACATATTTACTTTCGCACACAAGCCGGAAATTAGCCGACTCCACGTAGTTTGTATGCATAGTTCTTGTGAGAGGGCATGGCAAATCTATTTATGCCCATATTGTAATATATTGTAATGCTTTTACAGTTTTTAATAATAATATCTGAAGTGAGCAGAGCATAAAGATATCCAGACCGGTAACAGAGCGGAGCGTCGAGCGAGCGAGACCTACTCATCCTCCGTGAGAGCTTTTATTAAAATTCTCTCTCGCTTTTATAGACGGAAATTACTTTGCTAGAAGATTTTTTTCTCATGAATTCCAGTTGTTTTATACTCCAAGTCTGAAACTTAGTAATGAAGCGTTAGATAAGAAACATCACAAAAGCCTATGCACGTTTCCCATCATCATTGCAGCTATTTTTATGCAACTCCTAAAAATAGGATACAATTCGAATGAATTTTTTTGGATTTGATTTTTTTTTAATTTAAGTACCTACTGTAACTGTTTTGACGATATTGAGATTATGATATTCCTTAGTCCACTAAAATGGATAAAAATAAACTTTCATAAAAAATTGCCGACTGCAAAGAACTATAAAGAATAAAGTAATTTCACATTTTTAATTTAGAGCTAATTCTTCCATACCTTGTCCATATCTTGGCACCGACTTCAGAATGCGAAATTAATTTTTATTGTTGTTTATTTTTTAAATTGGCTTTTACTTTTTGTTAAAAGTTAATATATCCACATAATTTTGGTGCGATCGATCAGAAGTCATGATATTTTCAATCCAAATTTCCGTTGACTTTTGTGGGACGAAATAGGACTGTATTCTCTAAGTACACCGACACGTTGTCCATTACTGATTGGGCGGCGGGCCTAGGGGTTCCCGAGTTCGATTCCCAGGTCGAGCCATGACCCTATTGTGCGAGATGTTATACTAGGTGGACTGTAGACGCGGTTGTTTTCTTATGCCTCAACAAGATGGCGGACGTGGCACGCCGCAACCTTGGACAATGCACTCGCTCTTCCAAATCTATTGCTTGCCAAGGTTAGGATGGAATTCTACTTGAGAACATTAGGAGAAACAAAATGGGGCGGGTTAACTAACAAACAAAATGCTCAAGTAGG